GGTTTATCGACATGTTGGTCAAGACCCATTGATGACAAGAGGTCTAAAAATTGAATGGCATATGGATCATTTGGGATGTTGACGTGCATGTTGAAATCACCAACAATTAGCAGGGGTTCGGGGGACATGATTACTGATTCTAGATATGTGGAGAATTCCTCAAGGAATACATTTGCACAGACAGGATGAACAGTGGAGTAAGGAGTGCGATAGACTATAATTATCCTCAATTTTGTCGAACAATACTATAGTGTCCATTCAGAGAACTCAAACGATTTACGTTCACCGCTATCGACTCTTTTTGCCTCAATATTCTCCCTAAATAGCAATGCAATTCCGCCGCCAATTCGTCCAACACGCGTATTGTCAAGCAGTTTATATCCAGGCAGAATAATTTCCGCTCTATATGCCATATATCGTCTTCGGTAAGCCAGGTTTCGGTGATGGCAAAAATATCCGCGCCAGTTGAAGGAGCATAACAAACAAAATCAGCAGATTTATTCTTTATAGATCTTGCATTGAGATAGCAAAGTCGTAAATGCTTTCCGGTGTTATGAAATGACTGCTCTGTGAGTGGGATCTGAACAAGATTAGATGTTACAGGTCTTGTGCGACGAAGTTTCAAATAATCAAGACGATTGGAGATAACTACAGGAATCTTGAACTGGTTCGATAAAGTATTATTAGCAGAGGACATGCAAATTTCCTTGCTGTATGAGGTACCCATGCATGACGATGGCGGCTTTGTAACTATTTAACGTAATAGTGAACGGGAACACATACCACTTTTTTTTAAAAGAAAATACAGCATAGTGATTATTAAGACCATTGGCAAATTGTTGTTAAGACCGTTCTCATTCAAGCTAGACAGGCAAACATGTCATGTGACAAATAAAATTATAGAACTTTCTGGAATCGCTGCTGTCAATAACCCATCTCTGGTCATAATTACAGAATCCTGGCTGAACTCAAATATTCCGGATGCTGCTATAGAAATTAGTGAGAAGTTCAACGCATATCGACGAGACCGCCCTACCCCTGGTGGCGGTGTCTTAGCCTATGTGCACCATCAAATGCCTACTACCCGTCTTACAAATCTTGAAGTGGAAGATAAAGAAGTCTTATGGCTCCTGCTTAAACCGCCTAGAACTCCCAGGCCTTATAGTGCCATAATAGTTATTAGTGTATACTACCCACCAGGTCAGACGATGGAAGATGAAAGAGCAATGCTCGAGTATATCACAAATGGACTTGATGAAATTCTGAAAGACCATCCTTCAGCAGGTATAATCATCGCCGGAGATTTTAACAAAATGAAACTGAATCTAGTATGTAGGCGCTTTAACCTTTGCAAAGTTGTACGAGCTCCTACTAGGGGCAGAAATATTTTAGATCAAATCCTTACTAATATGTCAGAATTTTACAATGACATCCAACATCTCCCGCCGATTGGCCGCTCGGACCATCAGTGTCTCTTACTCACCCCAAAGCTGAAAGAAAAAGTGAAGGCGATTTCCCGAAAAGTACGCCTGACAAAATGTAGTAACTTAATCGATCTGAGTGTCCATCTGAACAGGCAAAGCTGGGAAATGGTTTATGATGCTGATGAGATTGACGATAAAGTTTCGAAATTCACAAGTATGATCACGCGTATTCTTGATAAAACGCTGCCCAAACGTACTGTACGTTTTCATCCTTCAGATAAACCTTGGATGACCCCGCGTATAAAGCAAGAAATAAAGGCCAGACAAAAAGCGTTTACGTCAGGGAACAGATCAAGATACCAATTATTATGTGACAAAGTTTCTTCACTTATATCTAGTGCTAAGAAAACGTATTATCAATCGAAAGCGGAAGATACACGTGTAACAAGCCCAGCAAAGTGGTATAAAATTATATATGAACTTGTGGCTGCTAATGATTGTAACTTCCAATCTTCAGCAGCCCCCACAGATGACCTAGCTGAACGCTTACAACAAAGTTTACCAAGCCTTGGCAGAGCACCACTCCTAATGAAAAACCAAAACTAGAGGAAATTGAACATTTACTCAAAGATACCAAGCCGCTGTTACCTTCGATTGGACAAATTAAGGCAATTCTCAAACACCTAAACCCTAAGAAAGCAAGCGGTTCGGACGACATTCCTGCATGGCTACTGAAACGTTACAGTGAAGAGCTTGCCCCTATTATTCATAATATCATCTGCTCTAGCATTTCCCAGTCCAAATACCCGACTCTCTATAAGCACGCATTGGTCACCCCTGTGCCCAAAGTATACCCCCCGAATGATATTGACAATGATTTCCGGCAAATCTCTGTATTACCGCAAATGGCAAAAATCTTGGAAACCATACAACTTAAACTGAATAAAAATGACCTTAACATCAAAGATAATCAACATGCATTTACAAAAGGAAGATCAACAGTATCTGCGTTAGCGAGTATTACCAAAATTGGTACAATAAGACCGAAAATTCACGGGATGGAAGAATGGGAATTCATGCCTTATTTATTGATTTTCGTAAAGCTTTCGATATGGTTGACCATGGTTGCTCCTAAGAAAATTAGCTGAAATGAATGTATCTAAATGCTTTTGGTTATGGACGAAGAGTTTCTTAGAAGGAAGAAGCCAGCGAGTAAAAATAGGTGCGAGTTTATCATCTATTAGGTCCTGTCCTTCTGGAGTCCCCCAGGGCTCTGTCATCTCACCAACAATGTTTAATGTCTATGTTAACGATCTTGAAGATTGCATTCCCAACCATTTGCAGATTAATACATACAAATATGCAGATGATTGCACTCAGGATGAGGCAATCTCATATTGCTCCACTGGCAACATGCAAACGGTGTTAGATGCAACGAATGACTGGGCACTTAGAAACAAGATGGAACTTAATATAAAAAAGACTAAAGATATGTGGATTTGCTTCAAAGAAGGAATTCCTGCACCACCTTCACTTATGATTGGTAATGATACAATTGAAAGAGTAAAAACGTTCAAGCTGCTGGGCCTTTGGTGTAACGATACCCTTAAATGGAACACACACGTTGAAGAAATTACTAAAAAGGCAAACAAACGTTTATTCCACCTCCGGGAATGCCGCCGAGCAAACCTACCGACGGAAGTAGGTTTAACTTGTTACTTCACGAAAATTAGGCCGGTTTTGGAATATGCAGCCCCAATTTGGAGTGGTTTACCACAATATTTAATAGATGAGGTGGAGAACATTCAAACTCGAAGTCTAAAAATACTTGCTCTGCCGTCTGATTCATTTCAGTCTCTTGAGCAGCGTCGTGACATGCTCGCCATACGTGAATACAAGAAAATTATGGATAATGAAACGCACCCTTGCAGGAAATACATACCAGATATTGTGACGACAACATATAATCTAAGAACTCCAAGAACTCTACCGCAGTTCTTCTCTCATACCAATAGGCATAAACTTTCGTTTATTCCAAGGACTAATGCACTATTATAGACATAATTTTAAAATCGTAAATTTATTATATTTGTATATATACATACATTTTAATCATATTTAGTAATTGTAAATCCATTGTAATTTTATACCTAAGATGGATAAATAAATTATTATTAAACATGCCATAGTTTATGGGCCCAGCACGTTTCTACTGCCCCACCCTGCTTGCTACACATTGCTTCGATATCATGAATATTTACACAGATTTGTATTTTCTTTTTACTTGTGCTGTTCCGAATGAGTTAAGAAAAGCGGGAAAAGTTCTTACAGGCACCTAGAAAAATATCAGCGCATGCAGGTATGCACGATCGGGGATTATAGTCTTTGAGTTCGGGCTTTTCTCTTCCACTCCAATTAAGAAAAACTAACTTTCTAAACCAAAAATGACACCTAAAATGTGCACTGAAAATATTTTGTTTTATTGAAATGACAACTTTAGCAGGAAATGGTTTCGATCCATTGACCTCTGGGTTATGGGCCCAGCACGCTTCCACTGCGTCACCCTGCTTGCTACACACTGCTTCCATTCGATGAATATAAAACTTGTGCTATTTTGAATAAGGTAAGAACAGCAGGAAATGTTCTTTCAGGTAGCTAGGAGAATAGCATCACACAGGTATGCACGATCAGGGAGTGTAGCCCAGTGGTAGAGCATTCGACTACAGATCGAGAGGTCAGTGGTTCAACTCCGCTCGCTCCCTTCTCTTTTATGAATGAAAGAAAAATTCATTATTTTTATGGTACCCATTAGTGCATGAAAAATCCCAATTTATTTTCGTGGCAAACAGCCGTAGGTTTGATAAACTATCCACGCAGTTTAGGTTTTTTGAATGACTCTCTGGTCCCACCCAGTCTTTACCTTAGAAATGTTCACAACTTTAAATATTTATCATCAACACCCATTAAAATTTTCAAACATTCCTTCTGTTAACCATATTTTACTCTTAACTACTCATAGTACTTTTTTAGTCGAATTAAGCTTTCTCTGACTTAATGCTTAGAATGCTCGACCGTGCAGCCAGGGCCGTAGCTAGAAGCTTAATTGGGGGGGGGTGTATATTCATATATCCATGTTTATATACTATAGGGACAATAGCGTACAAAAGAAATCAGTTGGGAGTAAGACAAATATATGAATATACACCCCCTCCTAATTAAGCTTCTAGCTACGGTCCTGCGTGCAGCATATAAAACACAATTGAATGACATAAGAGCTTTTGCAGCTGCCTAAAGCAGGAATAATTTTAAATGTAACAGTTAAACTTGGCAGCGACATACGACTGTTGATCCAGATTCGCACGTTCTGACAGGAAAAATTCATTATTTTTATGGTACCCATTAGTGCATGAAAAATTTCAATTTATTTTCGTGGCAAACAGCCGTAGGTTTGATAAACTATCCACGCAGTTTAGGTTTTTTGAATGACTCTCTGGGTGGGACACATGCATGTTCTATATTATATTTTGGTCTACTGAACTTTATCAGCAAATGGTTTCGATGCATTGGCCTCTGACCTGGCTTGCACGGGAATTGAACCCGTGACCTCTCGCACCCTAGGCGAGAATCATACCACCAGGCCATAAAGCCAAGCCAGAACGTATGAAAAGTTCTTTTTTGCGACAATATTTCATCCCTAACAATGAAGTCGATGTATGGCATGGGATAAGAAAAAATGGTCATATCCAGTGATAGTTTTTGCCAAACTTGATTTTGGCGTTATAATGCGTGAAATGTAATGATTCGTAATATTTAAGTCTTTTACTCACCCTGACCATACACAGGCAAAAATATGAAGCCTTATCAGAGAGTTGAACGTCGGACCCATGGTTAACGAGACCAGTGCTCTAACCACTGAGCTAATAAGGCAAATGCGTGATACTTTCGCAAGTCGTAATCGGCAGGATTTGAACCTGCGCGGGAATATCCCAACAGATTTCGAGTCTGTCGCCTTAACCACTCGGCCACGACTACATAGTTGCCTATTGAAACGCAATGGTAAAAAAGCACGATAAAACATAAGTAATTATTATACAAATTGATTTCTAAAAGAACGAATCGTAAGATAAAGTATAATATATTATAATGTTCGCGTTTCAAACTACATAATGGTTAAACAGTACTGGTCTTGTAAACCAGGGGTCCAGAGTTCAACTCTCTGATGAGGCTTTTGTTGTCATACTATTGTAAATAATAGCCAACTATAATGGTTACTATATAATTTATGGTATTTAGAGTCCGAAGTGCTAACCATCACACCACAGGACATAAACACCTAGAAAAATTACCGAGAAATTCCTGGCTCTACAGTATATCTATGCACGCATATTATTAAGATAAAGTAATTATATTCCCTGTATTCCAGGTATGGACACCCGTTTTACAAATTTATAGAACATGCATGTGTCCCAGAGAGTCATTGAAAAAACACTAAACTACAAGGATAATTTGTCAAGCAAACGGATTGTTGTAACGAAAATAAATTGGGGTTTTTTAACTCACTAATTAGTACGATAAAAATGTTCAATTTTTCTTTCATTTATAAAAGAGAAGGGAGCGAGCGGAGTTGAACCACTGACCTCTCGATCTGCAGTCGAATACTCTCCCATGCACTGAGCTACACTCCCTGATCATCCATACCTGTATGATGCTATTCTCCTAGGTACCTGAAAGAACATTTCCTGCTGTTCTTACCTTTTTCGAAATAGCACAAGTTTTATATTCATGGTATAAAAGCAGTGTGTAGAAAGCAGGGTGGCGCAGTGGAAGCGTGCTGGGCCCATATCCCAGAGGTCAATGGATCGAAACCATTTCCTGCTAAAGTTGTCACTTCAATAAAAAAGATATTTTCAGAGCACATTTTAGGTGTCATTTTTGGTTCAGAAAGTTAATTTTTCTTAAATGGAGTGTAAGAGAAAAACCGGAACTTAAAAACTATACTCCCCGATCGTGCATACCTGCATGCGCTGATATATTCTTAGATACCTGTAAGAAGATTTCCCGCTTTTCTTAACTTATTCGAAACAGCACAAGTAAAAAGAAAATACAGATATGTGTATATATCCATGGCATAGAAGCAGTGTGTAGCAAGCAGGGTGGGGCAGTGGAAACGTGTTGGGCCCATAAACCATGGCCTTTTTGCCCGTTTACCTTTAAAGAGAACGGTTTTAACAACAACTTGCCAATGGTCTAGTTAATGATTATGCTGTATTTTCTTTTGAAAAAAAATGTTCTACGTGTTCCCGTTCCCACATTAGATGCACTCCCTCAACTTAATTTAGGTATCAACCTTATAAAAATATAGTAAGCTAGGATTTTTCATCAATGTAATCTGTTTATCCATGTGCCTCATTACCTCAGTGGTTAGAGCACTGGTCTAGTAAACCAGGGGTCCGGAGTTCGAATCTCTGACGAGGCTCTTCCCATTTTCCACCTAAACTCAATAAGTATCTATAGCTAATATAAATGAGTTTTGTGATTGGCTTTTTGTAACAATAGTGAACAACGTTTACGATTCGTTCTTTTAGAAATCATTTTCTATAATACTTATATGTGTTTTATTGTGCTTTTGTACCATTGCGTTTCAACGGGCAATTATGTAGTCGTGGCCGAGTGGTTAAGGCGACAGACTCGACAGTTCAAATCCTGCCGACTACGACTTTTGTTATGCAAGTGGAATTTCGTGGCCGTTTCATTTTACGTTTGCAAAAGTATCACTTGTTTGCCTTATTACCTCAGTGGTTAGAGCACTGGTCTCGTAAACCAGGGGTCCGGAGTTCAACTCTCTGATAAGGCTTATTATTTTTGCCTGTGTGTGGTGAGGGTGAGTAAAAGAATTAAATATATACCACTTATTAACCGAATTTGAGGTCCGTACTAGAAAAATATCAGACCGAGGTCTTTGACAGTACGGACCGAGCGATAGCGAGGTCCGTACATAAAAGACCGAGGTCTGATATTTTTCCAGTACGGACCGAACGTATTCGGTTAATAAGGGATTTATTATATGGCATACAGTATTTAGTTTATTTATTCATACAATGCGCTGCAGCATTCTTGCCGGCTCTTTCGCCAGCCAGTCGCTAAGCAAGCACTGAAGTGGCTTCCAAAACTTTGTTTTTTACCCGTTAAATAAGAATGATACAGCTAGTAATATAAACAAAAATCAAAGATGAATAAATATAATATTCACATGTACGAAATAATGCTCTACCTCGTCCATTCTCCGTCGATATTTTTCGTGTCAAAAATAAAAGTACAAGCTTGTTTTTGTTCGAAAATATGAGAGTTGGACCGTTACTACGGCAACGGTCCAATACTGGGGGATTCCAGACCGGCAAAGAACCAATCAGCGCACGCTATTTTAGTCACGAGACCGCGTGCCATATAATAATACTAATTATTACATTTCACGCATTATAACGCCAAAAAAGAGTTTTGAAAACACTATCACTGGATATGACCACTTTTTTTATCCCATGCCATACATCGACTTCATTGTTAGCGATGAAATAATTATGGGAGGAAGAACTTTTCCCATGTTCTGGCTTGGCTTCATGGCCTGGTGGTATGATTCTCGCCTACGTGCGAGAGGTCACGGGCTCGATTCCCGTGCAAGCCCGGTTAGAGGCGAATGCGTCGACACAATTTGCTGCTAAATTTCAGTAGACCATGTTATTGTCATTTTTATTCAAAAATACATATTTTTTCTGGAATTAACTATAATAAAAAAGCCAGAACTCAAAACTTACATAAAAAATAAATTAATAGTTTCAGAAAGGTAACCATTACACCACAGAGCCTAACCATCTACTACAAGACCCCGCAGAAATTTGTGCTTAAGACATTTCAACCCGGAAATCTAATCGCTGGTTCACAATTGTGTATTTCTGTACCGCTATCAAAGAGAAACCTTTTAAATAGCATAAAAAAATTCAATTTTTTTCCGAATATGTATTCTGCAATCTTTTGACAGCTCATCATACACATCTGACCAGCGCTGTGATGTATAGTCTATACACGCACATTATTAAAATTAAGTATTTATAATTATAATATATTCTCCCTATTCCAGGCATGGAGCCCTGGTTTACAAAATTAATATAATATAGAACATGCATTAGTCCCAGAGTATCATTCAAAAAACCTAAACTGCATGGATTTTTTATGAAACCTATACGGCCGTTTGCCACGAAATAAATTGGAATTTTTCATGCACTAATGCATGGGTACCATAAAAATATTTAATTTCTCTTTAATTTATAGAACAGGAGTGAGCGAGCGGAGTTGAACTACTGACCCCAGTGACCTGTCAACCTGCAGTCGAATGCTCTACCACTATATGCTACTCTACCTGAGCGTTGCATGCAGCATACCGGTCACATGCTATTTTCTTAGATACCTTTAAGAGAAAGCCTGAAATGAAAAATTACGTAAAGACGGAGAACGAAGTAGTTTGTAACTATTTCACGCATTATTACACCAAAATCAACTTTTGCAAATTCTATTACTGCATATGACCATTTTTTCTTGTCCCATGCCATACATCGACTTCATTGTTAGCGATAAAATAATTATGGGAAAAAGAAGTTCTCCCATGTTCTGGCTTGGCTTCATGGCCTGGTGGTGTGATGCTCGCCTAGGGTGCTAGAGGTCACGGGTTCGATTCCCGTGCAAGCAGATTGGCCAGAAGCCAATGCATCGAAACCATTTGCTGATAAAGTTCAGTAGACCATCAAAATGTCATTTTTATTCAAAAACATATATTTTTCTGAAATGGGCTATAAGCGAAAAGCCAGAACTCAAAAACTTACATTAAGACATAAAATTAATAGTTCCAGCAAGGTTCTACCGAGAAGTGAACTCGAATTCCCGGATGCAGTGTCCGAAGTGCTAACCATTACACCACAGAACCTAACCATATACTAAAAGACATCCCAGAAATTGGTGTTTAAGACATTTCAACCCGGAAATTAATCTAATCGCTGGTTCACAATTGTGTATTTGTGTATCGCTATCAAAGAGAAACCTTTTGAATAGCATAAAAAAGCTCAATTTTTCCTCCGAGTCAGAGTCCGAAGTGATAACCATTAAACCATAGACCTTAAACATCTATCAAACTTACTGACAAATGTCTAGCTGCATAGTATAATAATGTAGTTTGATACGCGCATGCACATTATTAAGATAAAATATTCATATATTCGTGGTAGTTTACACATACGCCTCATTAGCTCAGTGGTTAGAGCACTGGTCTTGTAAACAAGGGGTCCAGAGTTCAACTCTCTGAAAAGGCTTTTGTGGTCATACTTTAGTAAATTATATGCAACTATAGCTATTAAAGTGCCTATATCACTTGTGGGATCTTCACGGATTTGAATAGAGCTTGAAAAATTAGTTTATAAGTTCTGCAACACTTTTTTATATAATTAAATTGTTTCGAAAATACGTTGGTTGGGGGGACTGGGACTCAGGAATGACTTGCAAACACGCCGTCTTTTATAATGTAAACATGAAGAGTTTCACTTGCGATATAGTTTGCGCTTTTCAAGAAAAAAATGCGGGAACGGTGCGTTCTGTATGGCTGTAGC